AGTCTCTCTTAAAAAAAAACAAAAACAAAGAAACAACCCCCAGGGGAATGATAGCGTCCTCGCAGGTCCTGGTGCATACAGCTCCCGCTACTCAGACCTAAAGTCCATTCGCTAGAACCTGAGGTGTACTTTTAAAACCAGAATCACATCTCCCATTTATGCTTTAGCACTCGCCCCTCTTTTTGCACAGCCAAGTATTTGCAGTTAACAGTCTATGTTGGGCATTTCTGCAGAACAATAAAGTCAATAAAGTCAGGGGGCAGGGCGGACAACCATGGGAAATGGTCATGCCACAATCCTTTCTTTTCTGTTCTCTCTCCTTTCAGGATTTTGGGCATATATGCACATGAGCCTGGCATATTCTCAAACCACATGTACAGGGACTTGAACTAGTTGGCCATGTGGGTGCTAGCTCTCCACACATAACTCTTTATCTACTATATTATGGGACTGGCCCCTCCTCAGCCTTTATTTTATTTAAATATTCATTGAAACGTTGTTGTGTTCTTATGTCTTAGCTGATAGGAACACAAAAAGGGAAGAAAAACTGTTTGTTTGTTTGTTTTTTCATTAGCCAGAGTATGTGCATGGGTGTGTACTAGAGAGAGAAAGCAAGCAGCCCCTAATGGGATGTGATTATGTTGTAATCCTTTTTCCTCCATGTCTTCATTCCATCTGGATTTTGGGGTTGTATACACATCTATTTGGTGTGTTTCTCAAGGTGCTGGGGCTGGGATTTGAACTGTGGTCAGCTATGTGGGATTTGGCTCCCTTAACCACTGGCCCTATTATTATTATTATTTTAATTCTTTATTTCTTGAGAGAGAAAAACAGGCACCTTTTTTATAGTCTTGTCACACTGCAGTCCCTTGTCCTTCAGCCTTTCATCCACCTTGGGTCATGGGCAGTGTGTGTGTGTGTGTACGAGTGTGTACACCCAGTGTGTTTCAAGTTAACCCAAGATCTGAACTGAAGTTTTCATGTGGCTCCAACATTGAAGAGTGGTATACCCTACTGCCTGAACTACCATGACACAGTCTAAAACTTATTTTATCCCAGTTCTAAGTTATTTCTCAAGTAACTTATGTTAGTGTTAGCCGATAGATAACCTGATCTGGTAGACTGACTTCTCTGCCCAGTGAGGGGAGAAAACATATTTGAAGTCAAACTGGAATCACTTTACTGTATTAGGCCACTAAAGACAATCTGGATATTGCATCTTTGAAACATTGCCTGCCTTTATACTAAATTTCCATTTTGACCAATTGTGCCTGCCACATCCTCCTCAAAAACTTATGAACTGATCTATATAAAACGTTATCCTGGGGATCAACCAGCAGTATGGTGATTAAGGCAGCTGGAGCCCACATGGCCAACTGTGGCTTGAGTCTCACACCCAGCGGCTTGAAAAATGCTGTGTGAATGTGTATGCACATGTGTCCGAAATGCTAATGGAGGAGAAGATATTGTGATGTGACTGTCTTCCATGGTGGAAGCTTTCTCACTTTCCCTCTCTGTCTTTCTCAGTGAGAACATATGTCCCTCTAGCAAAAAAAATAAATAAAAAATTAAAAAAAAGATCACAGAGGCACCAGATTATCTAATTGAGAAAGCATCTTTATTTCCCTTGCTATATTGATCTTTCCTAAATTTTATTCATTCCTCTCTTCCATGAGTGAGAGCTAGATAGACGGAGACAACATCCCCAACAGGGTCTTGTCACCACAATCCACATCATGGGCACTCGCATACTTCGTGCATTCAGGGAGCTCTGACCCCAGCCATGTGGGTCAGCCCTGTAGAGCGCAGTGTTAGACTGCCGTGCTACCATTTGAACCTGTTGTACTCATCTTAAAATGGGTGATAATACATTAATTTTTACCTGGGTCAACATATGGATATTTTTTAAATAAAATTTTGATTGAATATCATTACCTATTTTGATTTGAACATATAAGTCAGACATGGTGGGAAATGGCACCCCCTTGTGGCACAGTCATTTAAGTCATGTAGATTGCCTCTAAGAATGTGATGAGCTGACCTCATGTTTTAAAAATAAGGAACTCTTACTTCTCTGTGTCAAAAAAAAGTTTAAAAACCAGCATAATTGAACTATTAGCATCTTCTGCTTGTATGCTTCAATTGTTAAAGTTTAATTCCATTTGTTACTATTTTTTTTATTTAACCAGAGAAAGAGACAGAGAGAAAGGGAAAGTGAGAAAGGAATAAGGAATAATATGAGGAATAATGAATCAAGTTTTAGTTTAATATAATTTATTTTTATGTGTTAATCAGAGCTTCTGAGGGTGTTTTTTTTTTTGTTTTTTTGTTTTGTTTTGTTTTGTTTTGTTTTTTTTGGAGAGGTTTTTGCTATAGGGCACATGCACTCGCCAGAAAGAGACAGAAAGGGAGAAATCACCCCTCAGGGGGGTGGCCACGCCACAATCCCTTCTCCTCCATTCTCCTCTTGGGATCTTGGGCACGCACACACACGTGCCTGGCATGAGTTTAAGCAACTGGGATCTTGGGCACGCACACACACGTGCCTGGCATGAGTTTAAGCAACTGGGTCCGGGACTCACCCATGGTCAACTACATGGGAGTCCAGCAACATAACCAGTACACCAACTGCTGGTCCCAAGAGGAAAAACACTTTCCAGGACTCAAACTGTTGTTGCCATGTGGAGTCTAGCCACCTTAACCTTCATGCCACCTGCCAGTGCCTGAGTTTTTATGACTGACACTAGCAATGGGTATATGGAGTTTTCTACTTCCTTCCTACCTTTTTTCCTTCCCTTCACGATATATACAGAGAACATAGAGAAGGAAAAATGAAAATGCACCAATGATGGTCATTAACTATGGATGGTAAGAAGATTTACATTAAAAACGTTTCATCTCTTTAAAAAGGAAATTTTTTTAAATATAAGTATTGTGTCTGTTACTGTATTCTTTTTGAGAGATCTATACCTAAATCAAGAGGTATGTATAGTCTTTATAATTGAGTATCTTCTCCTTTCCTTCCTTCCCTTTTCCTTTTCTTTTCCGTCCCTTTTTCTTCCCTCCCTTCTCTTTCCTTCCTTCCCTCCCTCCCTTTCTTCCTTCCTTCTTTCTTTTAATAAACTTTTCTTTATTTATTTCTTGAAAGAAACAGGGAGCGAGGCACACACACACTCAGAAGCATCCCCAACAAGGACTTCATGCTGCAATCCACCTTCAGCCTCAGCCAGCCAGGATGATAGACATGTGCGTGCCTGAAGTATACAGGGAGACCTTGGAATGTGAGCCCAGACTTTCCCATGTGCTTCAGGATCACAAAGCTTGGATTACTGCTCTGCCACCAGGGCTGACCACATTTCTTTCCTTCCTTCCTTCCTTCCTTCCTTCCTTCCTTCCTTCCTTCCTTCCTTCCTTCCTTCCCTCCTTCCTTCCTTCCTTTTTCTTTCTTTCCTTCTTTGTTTCCTTCTTTCTTTCTTTCCTTAATGCCATGATTTGCTAGCATTATTGCAGGTAACTGTATTTAATTACAGTTTTCTTCAGCAATCTCAGGTAAAATATTCCAGCTAAGGAAAACACAAATAATTTGAATTATTTGTGAAGATTATTTATTTGACAGATAGGAAAGGTAGGTAGATTTGGGATTTAGGAATTCTGATGATTACTTTATAGTAGTTTTTCTTCAGCTAATAATAGAAATATAAGGGTCAACAGGTGGCAAAGTACTTAAGGCGCTGGACTCCCATGTGGTCGACTGTGGTTTGAGTTCCGGATCTGGCAGCTTGGTACTCACACTAGGTGTGTGTGCATGTGTACCCAGAATTCTGAGAGGAGAATGGAAAAGGAGAGAATGTGGTGTGGTCATCATCCCTGGGGGGTGATTTCTCACTTTCTGTCTCTGTCTCTCCGGTGAGTACATGCACCCTATAGCAAAATAATAATAATAATAATAATAATAGAAATATAAACTGTGTTTTAATTAATATAGTAAGCTCTAGAAAGATGATCATCTTTGGAGGCTTTTTTTTCTTTTTTTAAAGAGGTTTTTGCCAATAGAGTACATGCCCTCACCGAAGAGAGAGAAAGAGACAGTGAAAGGGAAAGTGAGAAATCACACACACATACACATCTTGGGGTTATGAGCATGCCACAATTCCTCCTCCTCCATTCTCCTCCTGGGATCTTGGGGAAACATGTGCACGTGCCCAGCGTGATTTTCAAGCCACCAGGTCTGGAATTTGAACTGCAGTCGGCCATGTGGGAGTACAGTGACATGACCACTGCACCATCTGCTGGCCCCATTTGGAGCTTTGTAGACATTTAAATCACTGGTATAGCTAAGTGTAACTTTTTTAGAGCTACATTTTTTGTTGTTGTTGAAGAGGTTTTAGTGATAGAGCGCGTGTACTCGCCAGAAAGAGAGATAGAGAGACAGGAAGCAAGAAATCACCCCTCGAGGAGATGGCCACACTGCAATCCCTTCTCCTCTTGGGATCTTGGGCATGCACGCACGTGCACTCGACGTCAGTTTAAGCCACTGGGTCCAGGACTCAAACTGCAGTCGACTACATGGGAGTCCTGTGACACAGTCATTATGCCAACTGCTGGTCCCTAGAGTCTACTCCTGAAAACTCCAACAAAAAGATAGGAGCTATCACTTTAGAAAAGTGCAATTGTACCAACTTGTGAACAAGGTTTCACTGGCATTATGAATTCTTATATTACTAGATGTTTTAGTTTTGTTAAGAATTACGGTGTTTATATGAACTGTGTTTTCAAAGCAGTGTGTAGAAATAGGCAGAAAAGGTAAAATAGTTTGATTTATTACAGCATTTTAAATGCCATATTTGTTAAATTAGTTAAAGCATTTGTTTTGCTTATCTCATATAACGTTCTAACATTCTGAGACAGTACAACTTACTGATGCACAATAATAGCACACATTATATTATATATTATATATTATTATAAATGTAACCTTTCTTTAAATCCATATTTTTCAGGTAAAAAGAACATATTCTCATGGTACTTACAGAGCTGGCCCAATGCGACAGATAAGCTTGGTAGGAGCAGTTGATGAAGAAGTGGGAGATTACTTCCCTGAGTTCCTTGACATGTTGGAAGATTCACCATTTCTAAAAGTAAGAGAAAACAATATGAGAAATATAAATTGTAGGTGTAGTGTAAGTGATACAATTGAACAGCTATTTCAGAATGATAAAAATTGTGTTTTTTTTTTTTTTTTTTAATTGGAGGGAATGAAGGGAAGAAGTGGTGTGCGTGTGATGTCTCAGGTCCTAAAATAATGATGAAGCTAAGCCATAGACTAGAAAGTTCTGTTTACTAGTTACTGCCACTTTAGGAAATTTGGGTTTATTTGTCAGCTCTTTATAAACTGAATGCCAAAGACTTTAATAGAGGAAGGCTGTCTACAAATTTAAAATGTTAAGGACAAATGCATGGTCGTTTGGCATTGTAGATGCTGATGTGGGAAGTTGAACATCTGTATTTCAGCCTTGGCTATACCGAGCTGGGTTGAGCAAGCCTTTTGAGCTTGAGCTTTGGTGTCTTTGTCCATAAAATAAAGTTTTTTAGACTATGAGCATAAGGCTCCCTCTTTAAACTCTTTAAAAAATTTTTTGGCAAGATTCACCCCCTTTTTTTTTATTTATTTATTTTTTAAATAGCCTCTACATTCCAGAAAATGTTTATTGTGGACTGGTGGGTGGGGCTATCTTACTGAAACTTAAGGTTAATTATTTAATCAGCAGTTCAAAGGTCAATTTGACTCTACCTGAAATTAAGGTTTCAAATGAACACAGAAAGTGACAAGATCTGTTTACTTACACTCAATCTGTGAACAGCTTTTCTTTTTTCAATTCTGCTTGCTAGGTTTTTTTATTTTTGTAAAGTTTTATTTCCTTTCATGTTAGAGACAGGTAGATAAGAATAATGACCTCTGATAGGGTTTTATCACCAACCTACCTCCCCAGTCTTGCAGCCACCAGGATCATGAGCATTCCTACCATATTCAGTTTGGCCTGAGATGTAGGATCTACACCCCGGGCCTTCTCCTATGGTTCTGGTGTTGTGCAGCGATGCCTTACCAGCTATGCTACTGCAGCTGGGCCTTGTTTCTCAATTTTCTACCTCATATGTTTTTATGACCTTTTCTTTCTTAAACAATCTTTTTCAACCTGTTCCATTCCCCTTTCTTTTTTCCTTTTTTTAAAAAATTTCTTTTAATATTACATTAATCATATGTATTTTGACAGCGTATTACATTTCTTTTTCCATGTATATCAGTCAAGATAAAGACATTACTATCCATATTATCATCATCAAATAGCTTTTCATCATTTTTTGTATATTATTATTTATTCTCATTATTTTTTAAAATTTAGCTTTATTTAATTAATTTATTTATTTGACCAGAGAGAGAGAGAGAGAAAGTGAGAAAGCAAGCTGCCAGGTCCAGGACTTGAACCGTGGTCAGCCATGTGGGAGTCCAGCACCCTTAACCACCACGCCACCCTCTTTTTTTCTTTTTAACCTCTTGTCCGTTTTTTATTTCTCTCAACTGGTCACATAATGGAATTTAGTTATAATTGAATGGTATTTTTAAAAATTACTGAATATTATTTACATAGTTGCTTCAAATTTAATTTTCAAAGCAACTGAGTTAAATGCATTTTTTAAAGGTATTTAATTTGACAGTCTTCCCCTTTCACAAAAGGGAATATGGAATGAATGTTGTTTTGTTTTGTTTCCTTTTGTTTAATACCATTATTACCTTTTTGCAGGACATTGGCCCTCTGTCATATCTTCTTTCCTTTTCTTCTTCTTTTCCCCTTTCTTTCTTTCCTCCTCTCTCTCTTCTGTTCTTTTCTTTTAAAATCTTTTAATCTCTGGTTTTGACTAGCAATATCTTCAAGGAACTATTGCACAGAAGTAAAGTTTGGTTTCAGCTTGGTTTTCTTTTTTGTTTCCTTTTTGTAATGAAAGAGGTATCCATTTTATAAACTCATTATTAATTTTTAGAGATTCTTATGGGGAGCAGTTGCTTATTTTACCAAATTATTAACATCATATGATCCATATGTTTAATAGAAAGAAGACTGACATCTTGAATACAGTGAATCATGCCTCTGGCAAGGTTGAGAGAAGGAATAATTCCAGCATAATTATTCTCTGGCTGTGTTTAAAATAGAATTTTTTTGAAGTAAAAGGTATGACTGTGTAGGGTATATATTCAATACAGGTATATATTTCAAATGCTAAAGTATTAAGGATATATGTGAACCTGTGCTTGTCAAGGGAATGATATTATTTAATGTGTACTTGATACATTTTGAAAATAATTGATTTCTGTCTAATTCTTTGTTTAAAGTGTACACTGCCATGGGGAACACTATCTAGTCTAAAATTAGAGAGTCGGAAAGATAGTGATGATGGTCCCATCATGTGGGTACGTCCAGGAGAACAAATGATCCCTGTGGCTGATATGCCAAAGTCACCTTTCAAAAGGAAAAGGTATGTTGTATATACATTTTTATTACCAGGGATACATGTTTGCATGTTGGTGTGTGATGTGCATGTGTTATTGGTGTGTGTATTGCTCTGTGATGCATGTGGTAGTTAAAAACTGTTGGATGGAGGAAGGGAAACTTTAGAGTGTAAATTTTTTTTTTTTGGAGAGGTTTTTGCTATGGGGCGTGTGCGCTCCCCGGACAGAGAGACAGAAAGTGAGAAATCACTCGCCAGGGGGGATGGCCATTCTGCAATCTCTTCTCCATTTTCTTCTCAGGATCTTAGGCACATACCTGATGTGAATCTTAAGCTACCAGGTCCGGGATTCGAACTGCAGCCGACTACATGGGAGTCCAGTGACATAGCCATTATGCTAACTGCTTGTCCCTAGTAAATTAAAAGGGCCAGCAGGTGGCATGGTGGTTAAGGTGCTGGACTCCCACGTGACTGACTACGGTTTGAATCCCAGATCTAGTGGCTTGCTTTCTCACTTTACCTCTGTTTCTCTCTTGTGAGCACATGTGCCCTATAGCAAACTAAAAATAATAATAATAAATAAATCAAATAATTTTTAAAAGAGTGTAAATTTAAAAATAGGTATACATGCTGATATAAATAGAAAATGTCAGCTATATGGACTGGCTTCATAACCCAGTGGTTAAGGTTGTTAGATCCTGTATGGCTAACCATGCGGTTCAAAGCCTAAACCTTGCAGCTTGCGAACCATGGATGAGTTTGCAGGCTTATCCAAAATACTGAAAGGAGGAAGAAATAGAGAAGGTTTTATGGTGTGACCATCCCCCCTTGGGGGGGTGCTGTCTTCTCTCTCTCTTTCTAGTGAGTGCACATGCCCTCCAGCAGGAGGGAAAATTTTTTGTGTGTGTGTGTGTACACATGTTATAAATAAGATATGAAAAATATAGGCAAATGACATTAAATTGTAATTAGGAATGGAAAAATGTCATCTGCACAGATACCATGAGATGTTTGGGAATTGAATAAGAAATATTCACTACATTTATTAAGAAATCAAAATATCTTATGGAGGATATACAATAAGATAAAAATAAATAAAAAGGCCTACTGTCTGGATTGGATAAAAATGATAGTCTTAAAAAATGTTTCGCATTCCTATGGGACTCGTACTTCTGGCACTAGAGAAAATGATTTTAGAGTTCAGAAGGAAAAAAATTGAAAGAGAAATGAGGGCAGCTTAAGTTTAGAAGAGACTTTCTTAAGGAAGACAAAAAAATAGAGTGGCAGTACTGTTTTGGATAGAAGAGACATCAACATTGATAGACAGGAGTAAAACATGTTACATGTGACAGACTAAAGCTAGTGTCCAAAGAGCATTCTCTAGACTGGCTGCTGCCTGGTGAGTAAGGCCACTGGATCCCACATGGTTGTCTGTGTGGTTTAAAGGTCTTGTGTCTAGCAGTTTGAGGGACATGTCAGGCACCTGTGTGTGCATGCCTAAAGCCCTAAAGCAGGTTGAGATGGAGGAGAAGGAATTGTGGCATGACCATTTCCTATAGGAGGTGCTTTCTCCTCTCTCCTCTCTCTTTGCCTGTGTCTCTCTCTGGTGAGCGCATGCACACTAGGAAAAAAAAAAAGAGAGAGAGATTGAAAAAAAAAAGAAAGGGAAAAAGCATTCTTATATTGCTAAAATAGAAACAACCCAGTAGAAAAATAGACCTCAGGCAGTTTTCAGAGACATTTTTACTCATTATTTCGGCAAAAATTGTAAATAGACCAGTAACATCACAGGGTGGTAGGTATGTCAAGAAACAGTCTTTTATTTCGTTGACAGAAGTGTGAGCTTCCTCTAATCATTTCATGAAAGTAATTTTGACAATTGCTCATAAAGTTTAACATGTAACTCTGATTTAGCATTCCTACTTTTAGAAATTATCACAAAAAATAGATGTATTAAGATAAATATGTTAATGTTACTTACGGGGGCCAGCAGGTGGCATGGTGGTTATATTGCTGGATTTCCACTTGGCCGATTGCATTTCAAATCTTAGACCCGGTGGGTGGCTTTCTCACTTTCCCTTCTTCCCTTTCTCTGACTCATTAAGGTGAAATTGGAACAAAAATAAATAATAACAAATAAAGTTAAAAAAATTACTGGTTTCTTTGTGGTGAGAAAAAAAAGATTTAAAATAGTCTTAGTGCCCATCTTCAGGGGAGTGATTGAATATATTTTGTACATTCCTATTAAAGAATATGGTGGATTAGTTAACATAGTTTTGTTGTTGTTTTTTAAAGAATTATTTTATTTAACTTTATTTATTTATTTTAATTTGACCAGAGTGAGAGAGGTGGTGGAGGTGGGGTGGGGATGAGAAAGCAAGTTGCCAGGTCCAGGACTCAAACCGTGGTCAGTTTTGTGGGAGTCAAGCACCCTTAACCACAACGCCACCTGCCACCCCCCATAGTTGAGTTTTTAATGTCTTCTGATCTGGAAGGCTATCTGTGACTCTTAAAAAGAGCAAAATGTTGAGTAATGCTTCTAGCATGAATATTTCTATGAAAAGAAATTTAAAAATCAAATATATATTATGTGAGTACAGAAGAGAAAAACCTGGAAAAATGTACTGGGTTAACATTAGTGAGAGAGAAGGGTATAATGCTGGGGGGGATTATAGTTTTTTTCAAAATTCCTAAACATGGTTTTATTGTTTACTATCATCATTAATCAAAAAATAAAACAGGGAGAAAAGTCATTGAGCAAACTCTAGTTTTACATAGCAGGAGAGACTGTTGAACTTGTTTCTAGTTTGTCTGGAGCCTAAACCCAGTGCCTGGTGCTTAATAAATAAGTATGGGATAAATCAAGTTTTTAAGTTAATTTGTAAGTTGGTAGTAAATGGCAAAGTTGGCATGCTCTTGTGTGTTTTGGTGTGTTCTTGTTCATTTTAAAATAGCACTTGATTTGAGAGCAAAAATAATTAATAATTGTACAAAATATATTCAGCCATTCCCTTATTAATTGCCTTTTATCTGAATTATGTGATTATTAAGTATTTCATGGCAATTAAGCCTTAATATGTAACTAATTTCTTTGTTTTCTACAAAGAACTACCAATGAAATAAAAAACCTTCAGTACCTACCTCGAACCAGTGAGCCCCGTGAGATGCTCTTTGAAGATAGGACAAGAGCCCATGCAGATCATATAGGACAAGGTTTTGAACGACAGACTACAGCTGCTGTTGGAGTGCTGAAGGCTGTGCACTGTGGAGAGTGGTATATATAACTGCTTTTTAATGAAAGGCTTTCTTCTAAAACATTTTCTTGGAAAGTTTCTTAGTAATTTCTCCTTACTCTGGGGAAGAAAGTTCTCCCTCCTTGTATATATTCAAATGTATAATTGCACTAAAAAATAATTTTAATTGCTAGAATCTAGTTTTCATCAGTCAGGTTGATTAACTTTCATTTCCTAAGTGAATAGAGATGAAAAAAATTACAATAAAGGAAAACTAAGATTCACTTTGTGTTTATTATATGCCCATTTACAAATAGTATCTTATTTGTCTCAGCTGCTTTTTAGCCCATATTTATCATACAAAGAAACCAAGGCTCACGACTGTTGGATAACTTTTTTTATTGCTATGTAGTTAATAAGTGATAGGGCAAAGATTTGTCCGATCTGACTCCATACACCTGTGTTTTATCTTTCTACTGTTCTAACTTGCTGCTCCTTTCCTGAGGTTTGGTATCTATTTATTAAATATTTGCCTTTCTTTATGTGTTTTTCCATGTTTGCTTACAAATTTCACTTTATTTTCATGGATTAAAAAGGGAATCATTCTCTTTGATATACTTAAGATGCCATCTCATACATTAAGGAACTTCCCATTTATTAAATTGATAAAGCACATACAGCAAAGCTTTATTTTTTTTAAATAATTTTTAAATTTATTTACCTTTGTTATTATTTATTTTTATTTTTTTATTTGACTAGAGAGAGAAAGGGGAAGTGAGAAAACAAACTGACAGGTCCAGGACTCAAACCGTGGTCGCCCATGTGGGGGTGCAGCGCCTTAACCACTATGCCATCTGCTGGCCCGCAAAGCTGTATTTTTACTGTAAGATAAATTTGCTCAGACTTTTTACTTTTTAAAAAGAATTATTTATTCAATTCTATTTATTATTTTAATTATTTTAATTTGACCAGTCAGAGACAAGAGAAAGAGAGAAAGGGAAAGCAAGAAAGCAAGTTGCCAGGTTCAGGACTTGAACTGTGGTCGGCCATGTGGGAATGTAATGCCTTTAACCTTCATGCCTCCTCAAGACTTTCGCTTTTTAAATCTAGTGTTTGGGGATGGCATATGATTTGAAATATGCTATTTTGCTTACTAAAGTAATTAAATTTGATACTAAATAAGCAAGATTTTTTTTTTTCCTTTTTTTGTAGAGATTTTTTTCCTTAGGGTGCATATGCTAGCTGGAGAGACACAGAGGCAGTGAGAGAGGTGAGAAATCACCCCTTATAGGCCGCAATTCCTTCTCCTTCATTCTCCTCCCAGGATCTTGGACATGCATGCACATGCACCCCGCACAAGTTTCAAGTCACCAGATCCAGGACTCAGACCATGGTTGGCCATGTGGGTGGGAGTTTAGCTATGTAACTGCTACACCATCTGCTAGCTCCAAGAAACAATTTTCTAAGTAAAAAGAAACCATTTTTAATTCTGAAAATTCATTTAATTCTGAAAATAAAATGTCAGTATTATAGAGTTGCCTAAAATTTTATAAAAAATATAATCTGTGCTTTCTACATAAGGAAATATTATTTTCAAGAGCTACTGATAAAGGATTAAGCCTTTAAGAAGGGAAACTCTGGGAGCAGTAGATGGCATAGTGGTTAAGGAGCCAAACTCCTAAGTTGCCTACTGTGGTGGTTTCTGCCCAGCAGCTTGAAACTCAGGCCAGGTGCATGTGTGTCCATGCCCAAAATCTCCAGAGGAAAATGGGAGAGATTGCTCTGAGGCCATCCTTCTGGGGAGTGATTTCTCACTCTCCCTTTCATTTTCTCTCTTTAGCAAGAACACACACCCTAAGATAATTGGGACCAGCAGATGGCATGATGGTTATGTCGCTGGATTCTCACATGACTGACCATGGTTTGAGTCCCAGACCTGGAGGCTTGAATCTTATGCCAAGCACATGTGCGTGTGTGCCCAAAATCTCTAGAGGACAACGAAATAGAAGGGACTGTGATGTGGACATCCCTTCTGGGAGATTTCTCACTTCTCTCTCTCTTTGTCTCCGGCAAGCATACACACCCTTTGTTAAAATATCTCTTAAGAAAAAAAAAAAAGATACTAATAATCTCAATGAACACCAACAGATTATTTTATTAGTGCTTTGCTAGTGAATTTATCTTAATTTGGTAAGAATTAATTTAAGAGTTAGGCATCAGTGTGGTTTCCCCAAATTTATTTCTAATTTTTATATACTATTTATAACTTTAGCACTTAATTAAAACAAAAGACTTAGGGGATCAGCAGATGGTATAGTGGTTATGTCCCGAGATCCTGAGAGAAGAATGGAAAAGGGATTGCGGCATGGCATTTCCCCCAGTGGATGATTTCTCACTTTCTATCTCTCGTCTCTTATCTCTTTGGTGAGCACACGCACCCTATAGCAAAAATCTCTCTCAAAAAAAAAAAGTGAAACGAGATTTAGTATTTTCTCACTTATGTCATTTTCTGATTAAAGCATTTTAATTCTTCAAAATCTTGTGAGTAATAACCATAATAAAATGAAGTAGGTTTTAGTCTGAATTTGGGTTCAAACTAGAGTTGTCAACTCTTTGTTTTTAAATATGTAAAGTGACTCTCCAATCAAACTTTAACTTTATTTGTAAGATAGTACTTTGGTTCTGCCATAAACTGCTTTTATTTTGAATTTAATAAGGACTTAATAGAACAAAACATTAATGGTGGTTCATCATTATCTCATTTTCTTAGGCCTGATCAACCCCGAATAACCAAAGATGTAATATGTTTCCATGCTGAAGATTTCTTAGAAGTAGTTCAACGAATGCAGTTAGATTTACATGAACCTCCACTATCCCAGGTATATTTTAAACAGTTAACGCTATTTCTTTTAATTTTTATTGTGGTGAAAACTTATTGATATTCCTTGTTTCTTTTTCAGTGTGTTCAATGGGTTGATGATGCAAAACTTAATCAACTGAGGAGGGAAGGCATTCGCTATGCCAGGATTCAGCTGTATGATAATGACATTTACTTTATTCCAAGGAATGTTGTTCATCAGTTCAAGACAGTTTCAGCTGTATGCAGTTTAGCATGGCATGTTCGGCTCAAATTATATCACTCAGAAGAGGACGCTTCTCAGAATACAGCTATTCATGAGGCAGGCAGATCACCAGATTCCACATCATCAGCTCTTGGACATCATACTGAAAAAATGATTTGTGCTGTAAGCAAAGACTCCTTGGATTCTGTTCTTTCAGACAAACTTCATTCTAAATATGAATTACAGCAGATTAAACATGAACCTATCACCTCTGTAAGAATCAAGGAAGAACCTGTGAATGTTAATGTTCCTGAAAAAACTAGAGCACCGAATAATATGGATGGCAAGAATATTAAAGCAAAATTGGATCGTGTTCAATTTACAGAATTTAAGATTGACATGGATTCTAAATTTGAAAATAGCAAAACAGATTTAAAGGAAGAATTGTGCCCTGGAAGTCTCCTAAATGTAGTTGATACAAGGCAACATGGTTCAGCACATTCAAATCAAGATAGAAAAGATGATGACATTTTGTGCTAAATTTGTACATACCACTTAAAATTCTTTTTTTAAAAAAAATTTCATAATGTAATAAAGATTCATGAATTCTAAAAGCAAGCCAAGGACTTGCTCCCAAGTCTGTTACAAAATATAGTTTATGTAGCTTTGTAACATTCCTCAGTGCCTGTCCATAACTGTGAAGTATTGAGCACTTAGGGCCAGATGCACTGTAAACATTGCAGGTTTAAACATAAAGGAGTCTTTAAAAAAATCATTTGAGTTAGAGATATATGTTTTAGAATAGAGCTGACATTAACATATATATATTTTTTTGTAATATGAGCCAGAATTCTTTGAAAATTTAAGGCTTCTCCATAGAGCTTATTTATACCATTTTTTTTTCTCATTTTTAATGTGTCAGCACTGTAGTGTAAATAGCTTTTAAAAAAATCTTTTTAGTGTGATTTATATTGAAATGGTGAGCCACTTAATAAAGGTTCATAATATGTTTTCTGTTGGGTGTGTAAAGACAAACTGACAACTCAGTTAAATCATTTGTTTCTCTGCTGGTATATCCGTGATAATGGAGTAAAAATGTATGTTTTCAAATCTAGTAAATATTTAAATTCACCACACTGTGCAAAACATTAAAAAAAAAATCAAGATTCACTTATGAAAGTGCATATATATATGTGTGTGTGAGCATATATATATGTTTGTATGTATGGGAATGTATATATGTACATCATATTTTGCATAATTTTTTAAGTTGCTAAATAAGATGGATATGTGAAAATTCTTAGGCCTACTCCCTAGAATATTGTCTTAAAGTATTTATATTCAATATTAAGAGAGCAGTTTAGTTAATATGAACTGTTAAGTAAGTTGGGAGAAATAAGGTATGTTAATGATAGCTAACCCTTCTAACCAATGAAGTTATATTGCCAGATTATAAATTCCTAACATAAGTTTTCTTTGTTGTGTATGCAATGGTAAGTTTAGAATTATTTTTTTCCCACTAATAAGCACCTGCACTATACTTAATAGTAGCTGGGTTAAAAAAAATTAGTTATAAGAGTTTAATTGTGAGCAATTAAAACCTTTCATATTTTTCTTTCAGACTGGGAGAAAAATATGGCAAAATCAAAATTGTAGAATAAGGGCAATGACAATGACTCAACTGCCATATACAGACATATAACTAACAAAATACTATGTGGTACCTCATCTTTCTCAGGATCCCTTCCCTAGCAAGGCAAACAACTTAAAGTATTTCCTTTCCAAAAGAAAATTTGTAGGTATATTGAGGGAAGAAACAGGATTGCCAGTGCCTAACTAAAGATGAGTAAATGTCTCTTTAATGATGGACTTCAGCACTATTTCACACTGCTTCCAATACTGTAATTAAAAGTCAACAATTCTTTGATGTATGCATTGATGTAAAGAATGCCACGTATTGCAAATCTATTTTATTGTTTTTGTTATTATTTCTGGTTCCATACTTTGGAAGATGACCTTCATTGAGGTTCAGGCTGCCTTTTGGGCTACTGTTATTTCCTTTTCATTGTTTTCTGTTTCAGCCTCATTTTTGGTACCCATAAAAACTCCTATTAGGTTAAGAAGAAGCCATTTAGAAACACATTTCACCAGGACAAACACAGTGAGCTACAGTGATGTCACTTCTGATTTCCCAATTTAATAAAAGGGTAGACAAATACCATAGGAAATCTTTATGGTTTTTAGGAAATTAGTATGTTTACAACATAGAAAGTTTCATGGGATAGAGAAGATCATGATAATGTAAATAGGGATTTGTTTATATGTCTCTGTCTTATACTGTTGCTTATCTATTTAATCTTCTGTTTTAAGCTAAATTTATGCATTTGTACATACCTTTGTGGGAGACAAAAGTACTTAACAAATCAGTTTTGAGAAATAAGAAAGGATGTGGTTAAAGTGCTTTTTTTTATTTTTTAAATTAAAGGGTGTTTAACAAGTTATGTTTTATCTCCAGTTTCCCAGTAGCATATACCTAGATCATTGAAGTCATACTATAGGAAAATGTTTTAGGGTATTCCCTCCAAAATATATGAGCCTTAAACTTTTAACTTTAAGGAAGGCATATTTAAAACAACTATAGTGGTTTCTTTGAGATAGTTTCATGTATAACCTATAATCATGCTTACCCAGAATTTGAAAATTTGTTTTGTAAAGTGCATACATCTCTGTAGAGGTGAAATATAAATCAGTGAGCCTAAGATCTCAAGATACAGCCTTGTTATTGCCTTGAATACTTACATTCTTTGTCTTACGGGTTATTATTTTAACATCCTCTTCAGATGCAGTCTGAGAATTTGTTGACTACCTTTGTCACACACATTTTTCTATTTTAATACTGCATTATATTAATGGTTTCTCAATAAGTACATTCCAGTTCTTTATCTGAACCAAGTTTTTTGCTTTTATTTCCAATTTCTTGGACAAGAATAAAGCACTTAAGATATAATTTCTATATGGTCATCACATACTATATAGAATACATAATTGTTATGTAAATTGGTAGTTGATATACAGACCTTTACTTAAAAATTTAAGGTACCTCAGTGGTGTCTGCTACAGTGCTTTTTTTTTTTTCTTCTAATTTTGTTTATACACTTTTAGCTATCTAAGTAATATATATTTCATACTCAGGTTAGCTAGTTAGCTAGCAAAATAATTAAGCATTTGTGGTATTTAGTTGCAAACTTTGCTAAAGCCATATTCATTATCTTCCTTGTCACCAATGCTATTGACCTTAAATAAAAATTAGGTTTATCTAGCACAACACTGTGTGTGTGCGTGTGTGTGTGCATGTGTGTGTTTCTGTATGTATAAGCTTCTCGGAAATGTTTCCATGTATATTCATTTTTAAATACATTCTATAACTTTTTTGGGGAAGGAACTGTGGAGGGTAGGAAAGATTTTATTTCTTAGGTTTAGTCTTTAAGGTATTTCATTAGTGTTGCTGAGTGTGAAACAGTGTTTTCCCCAATACTTACGACAGGTAAGAACATTTTTGTAAATAGTAAATTAGAAATGTTGTGGGAAGTTTGCTTTCAGTTACCCCCACCACCACCCCCACCCCCACCACCACCCCTGACAAGTTCATTGTACTTTAAAGCAAATATCTCAAATTTCATTTTACATTTAGCAGAGGTGCAAGATTTGTTTTCTGAGTTTGAGAGGTATTTTCCTTGTCTTCCACCTTTCAATAAATACTAAAATTGATAACCCTAATCTTTTTATCTTTGTTTTGTAATTATTTTCTTAAACTTGATATTTTAATCTTGTCATCTTTGAGTTCTTGTGTTTCTGCCTTCAACAGAAACCATAAATCTTGAAAGTGACTCCTCTTAAAAATGATCAAAAGTTGACTTATGCAAACAGAGAAAACTATTAAAGATTACCTTAAACAGGATTGCTAAACTAGTTAGGTATGGGTGCTGGGAATGGCATGGTAAATAACCTTCTTCCCTTCCCCCTAGGCATGAGTATTTGTATCTCAGGAGAAAAAACAAAAATACCATTCTTTACAAAATATTTTCAGGCTGTCAAAAATTGACATGCTGGGTTTTAGGTCATCAGAGTCATAAAATAGCTCTTACTCTTTCTCCCATCTGATGTAACTACTTTGGTGTGTAAACTAAATTTTACTGGCTTTAGAATGCATGGTCTTCTGTGCAAGAGGTATGTTTGGCACTGACAATATACTTCAGATTAGATCATTAAGAAGACAGCTCAGGAGAGCTGTAAATTCTTTCATCTTCTGTCCTGGCTTTTCTGTTCTGTTCATTCTATAACCTACTGCATACTACAGTGGAAATGATTGCTTTTTTGATTGTCTAGCAGAGTCTAAAAGCAGATGTCTTTTCCTTTCAAGTCAACAGATGGCTATCTCTGGGGAGAGCAGGGAGAGGAGGGGAAAACATCTTGCATTTCACGTTGGCTTCTCATTCAGTTCCTCCTAGACTTCAGACCCAATCAGGGAATGTAAATGAGCTAACAAAATATGGGCAAGTAGAATTTTGTTAATAAGAAATTAAAAGTTACTACTTATATATTTCATTACTATGCTCTGTCTACCAGGAACTTCACTGTTATATATATGAAAACTGGATCCTTCCATATTTAAGTTTATGCATCTGTTTTTAAAATACTAAATTTGAGCTTTTCTGTAAAATTCACTAAAGTGTTCAAAGGCAAATCAGTATATTCACACTTTGTGTAATACAGTGTTGGAAAATTTATTTGGTCTGATGGTTTGACCATCACCCCCCTTTCTTTCTCCATTCCTTGAAATTTATTTTTTAATTGAACCATATTTTTCCATGAAAAAAATCTCAAATATATCATCTTTCAACTTTTTTCTTTAGTCCAGTTTTTAATACTCTTGTTCCATCACTCTCCCGAAATTCTCACCCCCCCAGAGGATTTTGCTTTAGGGCACGTGCCAGAAAGCAAGAAATCAACACACACCCCGGGGGCGGGGATGGCCACGCCGCGATCCTTGGGCACACAAGCACACATGCGCAGCGTGAGTTTAAGCCACTGGGTCCAGGACTTGAACCCCAGTCAACTACATGGGAGTCCAGAGATAGAGCCATTACACCAACTGCTGGTCCTGTCTCCCTAAATTCTTAAAAATCTCTGCCTGCCTTCCCTTCCTCATCTTCCATTCATTACTCATCTCACTACAATTTCATTTTAATTCTCACATTTAATCACTGAGGTGAAAGGGTTTTCTCAAAGGTCACCTTTGTTGCCAAATCCATTAGACATGTTCTTACCTATTTAACTCTTGTTATCAATCATTTACTCCTTAAAACTTTTATGACCTGTTCTTTTTTGGTTTTGGTCTGTTTAGAAGACTTCTTTTCCCTATTTACCACAATTTAAGGCAATCTTTATGCTCTTTCATTTAGACTTCCATACTCAGTTCCTGAGCTATCTTTATGACTATAACTTCAATCAGCTTCATTTTTCACTTAAATTCTAATAATCCATATGGTCAAATTGAATTATCTGCCTTGTGATCTACCATTCATTCATTCTTTCTTAACTTGGTTATTGGCACTACTCTCTTTTTGCAGTCATATTATAATGCTTTTATGTTTTCTTCTGTATACAGTTTATCATAAGATTTTTAGTTGACTCCAGAAATGTTTATAATTCATCTACTCCTTATGTCACATTGTAGTCATAGATGTTCATCTCACATGAACTCTTAAAATAATTGAAAATGTTCTGTATGGCCTATAGTCCTCTGCTCTTCTCACCTCATCCCAGTCCATTCTTTATGTTACCACCAGATTAACCTTTCTAAGACAGATAAGATCATTACTCCTTGGGGCCAGCCAGGTGATATTGAGGTTAAGATGGCTGGATCCCAAATGGCTGATTGTGGTTCGAGTCCCAGACCTGGAAGCTTGAAAAACATGTCAGGGGGGCTGACAGGTGGTGAGATAGTTAAAGGTGCTGGATTCCCACATGGCTGACCACAGTTCAAGTCCCAGATCTGGCAGCTTGCTTTTTCACTTTCTCTTTCCTTCTGTCTCTCTCTCTCTGGTCAAATTAAAAAATAATAGCAAATGGAATTAAATATATATTCAGAAAACAGCAACCAAAAAACCCACATCAGGTATGTGTGTAGATATGTGCCCCAAATCCTGAGAGGAAAATGGAAGAGAAAGGATTGTGGGGTAGTCATTCCCTCAGAGGGTCCTCTCTTTCCCCACACCCCACCCTACCTGTGTCTCTGGCAAGTGTGCATACCTTATTTAAAAAATAATAAATTGTTCCTCTTCTGTTTAGAGATATTCTATGGCTCTTTTCCCAAAGAATAAAGGCTTCACAGAGCACTGATTGGCCTTCATGGTATGGCACTTAAAAGCTTCACGTACCACAATATCTTCAAATTTTTGACTCGACTAGATGGTAGTACTTGGAATTCCTAACATCAGCTTTTAAAATTCTTTGCTTCTGCTGGGGAATACAACATACTGAAATCTTAACTCTCTTTTTAAAACTCAAACATCTCTTGTGTTGCCTTTACTGATCTCTCTCTAGTTGCTGGTTTAGAACCAATTCTGTTTCTTGGGCTCCTTTGCTCACACTATTTAACATACAAATTAGTTAATGACATGTTGGACCCTTAGGTAAACCTTGAACTAGAAGGAATTAGGGATAGAGAAAGCAAGTTATATAGTTTTGTTTGTTCGTTTGTTTTTTGAGAGGTTTTTCACTATAGGGCACATGTGCCCGCCAGACAGACAGAGACAGAGAGGCAGAAAGCGAGAAATCAGCCCCCAGAGGGGATGGCCACGCCGCAATCTCCTCCTCCATTCTCCTCTCGGGATCCTGGGCATGCACACACACGCTCCTGGCGTGGGTTTTAAGCCACCGGGACGCGAACCGCAGTTGACTATGTGGGAGTCCAGCAACATAGCCATTACACTAACTGATGGTTTTTAGGTTTTTGTAATTAAAAAGGTTTTTGTAATTAAAAAGTCTGTCTCTGGGGCTGGCAGGTGAAACGGTGGTTAAGGGCACTGGACTCCCACATAGCCAAACACTGTTCGAGTCCCAGACTTGGTGGCTTGTTTTCTCACTTTTTCTTTCTCATCCCCCACCCTAGTCAAATTAAAAAAAAAAAATCAGTAAATAAAGTTAGATAAAATAATAAAAATAAATGTCTGTTTTTTTTTTTTTTGAGAGGTTTTTTGCTACAGTGTGAGTGTGCTCGCCAGACAGAGACATAGAGAACAGAAAATGAGAAATCACCCCCTAGAGGGGATGGCCACGCCGCAATCCCTTCTCCATTCTCCTCTCAGGATCTTGGGCATGTACGCACACGCGTCCAGCGTGAGTTTCAAGCCACCAGGTCTGAGACACTAACCGCAGTTGACTACATGGGAGTCCAGCGACATAGCCATTACACTAACTGCTGGTCCCAATAAATGTCTCTTTGACTTTATAATGTAATTCTAGAATAGCAACAGAAGGAAAATAGAGAAAATTAGGTCAGTAGTTGCTATAAAGAACAAGTTTTTATTTTGTATTGTGGTTTTATGGCTAAACTTTAAGGAGGTAGCATTAGATACCCAGGCCAATTGGGCAGTTTGGAGAGAGTAAGTATTATATAAATAAGCAAGTGTGTAAAACTTACCCAACATTTTTTCCTTTATAGATTTTCCTGAAATACACAGAAACTTACTATACATTAAAGATAAATCTTAACTATGCCTAAAATGACTAATGGCAAATATCGCATTATTCAAAAATTGAAAATACTGAGACAAAGCAGTAAACACTAGTTTTTTACGTCCATGTCTATTCCATTGTAGGAGTGGGACATAAAGGTCCACAGTTTCACAGACAATCCAATTAAGCTTGTAAAGCCACTTTACTGGGATGATATAGGCTGAGACAGTTGTAGCAGTATTGCTGTGCTTCATTAAAAGAGAGTAACACAGGGCCAGCAGGTGGTGTGGTGGTTAAGGGTACTGGGCTCCCATATGGCTGACTGTGGTTCAAGTCCTGGACCTGGTGGCTTGCTTTCTCACTTTCCCTTTCTTTCTCACCTGTCATCTGCCCTTCTTTGGTCAAATTAAAATAAATAAGGTTAAATAAAAAATTTTTAAAGGGAGTAATACATTTGTACAACTGAAAAAATTACTTAGACTATATTTCTCATGTATAAATGGGAGAATACTTTTTCTGTTAATTGGTGAAGATTAAATGACAGCATGCAAAATGCTTACTTAGCACATTGCTTGGCTTAGAAACACTCCATAGATGTTAGCTTCTGCTCTTAGAATAAGAATAGTTAATAGAAGAGCTGTGTTCCTTAGGTTATCCCAATCATTTCACACCTTCCTCACTATCTGTCTTCTAATTTTTATTACAGGATAGGCATCTAGGAAGAGAAAAATTTCATGAGAGGATCAAGGCAAATTCAAAGCCATGTTTGTCATAGATTGCCTATTTCCTATATAAGTGAATTACGGATTTGTAGTTGTATCATCATAGAGATGATGCTAGTGGTAATAAATTCTCTTGTGGCAGTGTGATTGGCTGAGTTGAATACTGAGCAAGCAAAATAAAACAAAGCATAACGTTGATCCTTCTCATAAAGGCTTTTAACCAAGAGGTCTTTTTACTTAGCATTTGAAAACTAGTATCTTCCATTACGGGCTTCTTCTTTTTTGCATTCCATTCTATAGTTGACCTATTTGTGGAAATAGTATTTGGAGTTAAACTGCATTTATCATTGACCATGAGCTAATTCATTTCACTTATCTGGGCTTTAGTTTCTTCATCATTATAATGAGGTGCGTTTTTCTTCCCACTAGTTCTATCATTGTGTAACTGTGGTGTATATTAAATATTTATATCATGAAGAACACCAATGATACTTTGAACTTAGAGTGATGTTTACTGTACAGATGAGGTTAAGAAACATTAAAGCAAACTCCTTTGGTAGCTTGTGGCTTAACCCTGAAAGGACTCTGATCATTTTCCTCTTAAGGAAAAATAACTGCTTTTCATGATGACTCAGATGAATAGTGCCATGCCCATGATTTTACAGTTTCCACTTCATATTCGTCTTACCATTTCTTTTCACTAGTCAACATCAGGTCCTGTTAACTTGCTACACCATGGAAAAGCAATGCAGAAACTAGATGACTAAATTCGTAAGATTAAGAACTTTTAAAGTGACTTTAAGCTGTAATCCATGAATAGATCTCTATTTCTTTAGTTTTTGAACAAGTGTTTTTCATGGTGCTTGAATCTCCATTGATGGATGTGTGTTCATGTTTTCATAAGGCTGACCAAGATTACCATATGTGTCCCCGTGTTCACGAAAATGTTATTGAATAAGTTGTGGCTTTTAAACATCTCTTTTTTCTTTTTTTGCCATAAGGCATATGCACTCACCCTAGAGAGACAGGTGGAGAAAGGAAATGTGAGAAATCATTCCCCCTGGGATGGGATGGCCACACTGCAATTACCTTTCTTCCATTTTCCTCTAGGGATTCTGGGAATGCATATATATATGTTCCCAGTGTGATTTTCAAGACACTAGGTCCAGGATTTGAACTATAGTCAGCCATGTGGGAGTTCAGTGCCTTAACCACCATGTCACCTGCTGGCCTCATGTCTTTTATTTCTTAATGTTTTAGTGTATTCTAACTACTGAGGCACAAACCAATACCTTATTCTGCTGTTTTAAGTATTTATTTATTGTGGTAGTATACCAAATTAAGAGAAAGAGTTCTATTTTCTGACACACTTCATATGCTAAAATTGACTGGTTCTCATGAAAATAGGTTGGTTATGGTGTTGCCTTTTATGTTTCTCCCCCCTCCATCCCCCAGTTTTTGCTATGGAGCAGGTGTGCTCTTTAGAGAAACAATGAGAGAGAGAAAGAAATCCCCCTCCAGGGCGGGGGGAGATAGCTGCTCAGCAATCCCTTCTCCAGTCTTCTCAGGATTTGGGGTACACAGGTACTTGCACCAGTATGATTCTCAAACTACGGAGTTGGAACTCAGACCACGGAGTAGGCCATGTGGGATTTGGCTGCCATAACTTCCATGCCACCTGCTGGCTCTTACCTGTAATTCCTATTGAATCTCTCTCCTTTCTCGTTAAAACTATTTGGGCAAGGAAAGGACCTGTTTATTCTTAGCAATCTCATTCAGAATTTCTGCTTTTGCTTGCTTTAAGGCCTAGGTCAGGAATCTGCAATCTTCCACCCATAGACTGTATCTATAGTTTACCATTATAGATATAATTTTGGGTATGGCCCGTATGGCAAGAATGGAGTTTAGTTTTACACGAAAAATAGTATTTTGTGATACACAAAAATTTCATGTGCATAAATAAAGTTTTATTAGAACACTGCCACAGTCTGTCAAAGGCTGTGTTGAGTAGTTTAAATAGAAATCATATGGCCTTACCTTAAGACAATTACTGAATGGCCTTTTACAGAAAAATTTTGCTGACTCCTGGCCTAATTGATTGTTTGCTGTGTCCCTTCTTTCCCTTTTCTCTATGAAAGACTATACTTAAATAATACTTGCATGAATAGTTTTTCCTCAAGTACAGAATCCCTCTGGCTGGTTTCTTTTACAGATGCGAGCTTTCTTCTACTGTGAATTTATCTAATAATAGATTCCAGAGACAAAATGGTTTGGAACACTCATTGAATTAGGAATATCTGATTAAGCCTGGAACATTCAGCTCTCAATATTAACTATCCCTCTTAATCCTATTTTTAGGTACATAATATATTAATATATTACCAGTTATAAGACAAGAAAACAATGGCAAATGATCAAGTTTTACGCAACCTAACTCTTTGGTTTCAAATACCTAACCAAGTTAGATTGTATTAACTTGTGGTTTCGTGGCTTAAACATGTTTATCTCTTTACAAGGGAGAACTAGGCCAAAATGCTGTACAAAAGAAATCTCCTTAGCAGCCAGAAATAATTATTTGTTAGATATTTTTAAAACAGAATAAAATACCACTTTAGATTTCTCCCAAAGCTAAAAGTGAGAACTGTATGAGGCAAGAACAATCATCCTGCTTTAGGGTTATAAGAAACTTAAACTTCTTTGAGCTTCTAAGTATCGAAACCTGTTTCATTAGAACTGGTTAAGTGCCTTGGGAGAGTAGTCATAATTTCTCAAACTAGAACATACTAAGAGTGAAATGGGCACTAACTCTTCTACCCCAGGACAGTAAGGATAACATGGATCTGTCCTTACAGAACCAGGATGTAAGGTCCCTCTAACTTCAGGAAGAGGCAAGCTTCTGCTCATCATGCCACCTTCAATTCATTTGTCCCAAACAGAAGGTATAGAGGTAAAGATGAACTTATTAGCCTAGATAAAATCTGTCACACGCTCAGATCCTTTCTGAATGTAAACATGAAGTAGTACCCCTAACTATTTTAGCAACTAGGTTTATGGCTTCATAATTTAGAAGCACAAATGGTCATTTACTTTAATCATAATAGAGCCATCATATATGTAGATTAAAGGCTTTATATCTACTTAAACACTGACCACATAATTTAAAACAGATTCAAGAGTCAAGCAGAAAAATGAGGTCCAAAATAAACTTTATTTACATGGGGATAATAAGGATATCAATAACTCAAATACTAAACAATCAACTTTTGAGTTGACTAGAAGTCCATGATTCACCAATCCCGTTTTAAGGAAGCAGTGTACAACTACATTTGGTATTTTCTCTCAGTTCTCTGGTATTCTCGAAGCTTGCAAAGATTCAGAACACTAATGATATCTTGTTGAACAGAAACGAGATGATGTGCTTAGAAGTCAGTCTCTCACAAAAAAGACATTATATCCAAGTTCTGTTAAAGCCCCAGCCAGTAAGGCCCATAAAGGAATGAAGACATAGGACAGATTCATGGTAGTAAACTGTTCCAGTTTAGCACAGAGAGCGAGGCAGAAGGCTAATTTAAGTAACATTGCAGTGAGGTACCAGGCTTTTTTTTTAATATTATGTGATCCATGTCGAGGGTCAAAGCCAGACTTGCACCGCCCAGCCATTTTCACAATCAGCATGACAAGAAGAATAGTATCAAATATCCAGACTGGGATAAATATGAGGAACCAGTTCCAAGGTGCCTTCTCATCCAGTTTCAACACCAACATGATCAAGAAGAGTAATGTGAAAAGCCAGGTGAGTAGTACTCTCTGAGCCAAGGACATTCTCATTTAAACAGTTTAAAGAGGCTGTTGCAGGGTCGAAAAAAGGGAAATATACCCTAAGAGAAGGAAAAAAAGTCAAGGTTGTTTTGATACCAGAAAAATCAGTTCCATTTCTACCAGATGAAACTGGCTCTTTCCCACTCACAATTAATTTTGAAGACATTCTACCATCCTTCTTCTGAAACCTTAACACTTGTAGCAATCATTGACAATATTTTATCTTTATTCTTATACCCCACAACAAACTCTCCATGTCTCCACTGGTCCTAAGTTCTATTAACAATGTTTGAAAACTGGTTTTTTTTGAGTGCTGTCACTCAAGTTTAATCATTCATGGCTTTATATCCTATACCTCAGGGATATTTTCAACTTCCCAGTACACTTGCAAATCTATACTTCTTTCTTTCAATTTCAAAGTGTAGTAAGAAAAAGCATTAAAAATAGAGAAAAACGTGGTTTGAGCCAAGAGAGCAGTTTTATAAGAAAGGAACGGTAACAGAAATTGCAAGGACATCAGGTAGAATTAAGATGAAGAGGTGGTTGGCTTAAATAATACAGAGGGTATTGGTAAGACTCAACTTGAGTATAACTTAATCCATGAATCTTATCATTTTAAATTACCTGTTATTTTCTCAGTAAAATTCTTATAAACATCTATTTTCTGGGCCTAAGATTTTTTTTTCCCTTTTAACAATAAATACTACTGTATTTCACTATATTTTTGGTTGTGGTATACATCATGATTGTTTACTATTTGCTATTGAAAACACTTAATAAACTTTAGATCATGTTGTGATTAGATTTACATGCTAAATTATTCTATAAATGGGTCTACTTCTTTTATTACTATTCTGTCTCACTGATCTATGTATTTCTACTTTATACTAATACTATTGCTCTAGGATATATGTCCTAATATTCTGAAAGGCCCAATACTCACTCTTTTCCAGAATATTTTGTTTGCTCTTTCCTCTTTTCAGTGGTAAAATCACCCAGCTAATTCTTTTTTTTGGGGGGGAAAGGTTTTTTCACTATAGGGCACGTGCGCTCGCCAGACAGACAGACAGAGACATAGAGACAGAAAGCGAGAAATCACCCCCCCCAGGGGGGATGGTCACGCCGCAATCCCTTCTCCTCCATTCTCCTCCCGGGATCTTGGGCACGCACGCACACGCGTGAGTTTTAAGCCACCGAGTCCGGGTTGCGGTTGACTACATGGGAGTCCAGCACTTGTAGCAATCATTGACAATATTTTATCTTTATTCTTATACCCCACAACAAACTCTCCATGTCTCCACTGGTCCTAAGTTCTATTAACAATGTTTGAAAACTGGTTTTTTTTGAGTGCTGTCACTCAAGTTTAATCATTCATGGCTTTATATCCTATACCTCAGGGATATTTTCAACTTCCCAGTACACTTGCAAATCTATACTTCTTTCTTTCAATTTCAAAGTGTAGTAAGAAAAAGCATTAAAAATAGAGAAAAACGTGGTTTGAGCCAAGAGAGCAGTTTTATAAGAAAGGAACGGTAACAGAAATTGCAAGGACATCAGGTAGAATTAAGATGAAGAGGTGGTTGGCTTAAATAATACAGAGGGTATTGGTAAGACTCAACTTGAGTATAACTTAATCCATGAATCTTATCATTTTAAATTACCTGTTATTTTCTCAGTAAAATTCTTATAAACATCTATTTTCTGGGCCTAAGATTTTTTTTTCCCTTTTAACAATAAATACTACTGTATTTCACTATATTTTTGGTTGTGGTATACATCATGATTGTTTACTATTTGCTATTGAAAACACTTAATAAACTTTAGATCATGTTGTGATTAGATTTACATGCTAAATTATTCTATAAATGGGTCTACTTCTTTTATTACTATTCTGTCTCACTGATCTATGTATTTCTACTTTATACTAATACTATTGCTCTAGGATATATGTCCTAATATTCTGAAAGGCCCAATACTCACTCTTTTCCAGAATATTTTGTTTGCTCTTTCCTCTTTTCAGTGGTAAAATCACCCAGCTAGTTATTTTTTTTGGGGGGGAAAGGTTTTTTCACTATAGGGCACGTGCGCTCGCCAGACAGACAGACAGAGACATAGAGACAGAAAGCGAGAAATCACCCCCCCCAGGGGGGATGGTCACGCCGCAATCCCTTCTCCTCCATTCTCCTCCCGGGATCTTGGGCACGCACGCACACGCGTGAGTTTTAAGCCACCGAGTCCGGGTTGCGGTTGACTACATGGGAGTCCAGCGACATAGCCATTACGCTAACTGCTGGTTCCCACCCAGCTAATTCTTAAAAAAATTCTTTTGATTGGGAATGCATTAATTTGTAACTTAGCTTTTGATACCAGAAAAATCACTTCCATTTCCTACCAGACAAAATTGGCTCTTTCCCACTCACAATTAATTTTGAAGACATTCTACCATTCTTTTTCTGAAACCCCGAAAATTTGTTGCAATCATTAAATATAAACACTCATTATATTAAATTTGTTTTTTTTCTTTTTTTGAGAGGTTTTTGCTATAGGGCATGTGTGCTCACCAGACAGACAGAGACAGAGAGACAGAAAGCGAGAAATCACCCCCCAGGGGGGATGGCCATGCTGCAATCCCTTCTCTTCTGTTCTCCTCTCGGGATCTTGGGCACACACAAACACACACACGTGCGCCCGGCATGAGTTTCAAGCCACTGGGTCCAGAACATGAACCACAGTCGACTACATGGGAGTCCAGCAACATAGTCATTACGCTAACTGCTGGTTCCTCATTATATTAAATCTTTACATAGATTTACAGTATGTTTCTTCACTTATTCTAGTTCTTTATGCTAACCTCATGACCATTTGGAAAATGGATATGTAGGATGGGAAATCAGAAGCCAGACTGATGCAGTTGGGTGAGAAAAATAAGGAAATAGAAACAGCTGGGAACATTTTACTCCTTTGAAACATTTGGGAGACAAGAAAATGAAACATAAGATATATGAGACTGAAAGACTGATAAGATTTTCAGGAAAGGGGAATCAAAGTATGATTATAACCTGAGGAAGATAAGCCACTGGAGAATGACAGATTGAAGATAAAGAGAGATGATAGTTAATGAATAAAGATCAGAAGGTGCTAGGATTGTAACAAGCAATCAATGGTAGGAGTACAGATGCAGGAAGATCTAAAGAAACGAGGTGAAGAAACTGGCTAGATGAACCAAATATGGTAGACTATTATGCTCAATTCTATTTTAGAATAATTCTGATGTACTTTGCAACTTCTTAAATAGTGGGTGGCTATCATGGTGCAAGTAGTATAAACATGTTTTACTTCAACAGATATGAGCCTCCAAACTCATTTCTTTCCCTTATACCCATCTACTTGCACTTGTTTGTTTAGTTGGCACATGCTTCATATTGTAGAACTTTTGCTCCCAGGAATGCATTTTTCTGTGCTGGTCACCTTTCTTGGCCAGAGGCTGCCACAGTAGGATGTAGGACTAAATCTGGAAGGAGGACTAGTTAATATGTGATTAATAATCATGGATGGATTTCGTTTTGTAAATTAAGTATGTTCACTCCAGATCTATAATCTATTAATATTTAGTCATATTTGTGAACTTTTTTCCTAAGTTTGCTTACAATTATATGCCTATTTAAACAATTTTTCCAGCTATCATCAGATGAAACAAACTTCATTTTTTTCCTCATAAGGGACTGAATAGCAGCTGATCATAGAGTGGCTGTGCTCCTTAGGACTGGAGGTGGAAGACTGCCAAAGCCTAATCATATTGTGGCTATAAGCTTTATAATGTGGAGTGCATCGAAGTTTTGTATGCACTTGCACTAAAATATCAAGGAGAAGCCACTGCTCATATTTAAATGACACAGAAGGGATCATGTTTGCTGACCCACAACCATGACATCCAACCACAATTTAACATTTACATCCTTGATTAATTTTAGCAAACATACTTGTTTCCTATTGCACTCTTTTTCCCAGGAAAGGGAGAGGTGTATATTCCAAAACAAATTTCTCAGCTAAAATATTTTCCCTTTAAGGTGGTTATTGCTAGTATCTGGAAGATAATTTTTGTTCACATGATTCTTAAACGTCAAAAACCTTCGGAATCGCCTCTATATGGAAATCTAAAGGGCCCTGCCCATATTACCTGCTTCTGGTCATCAGCTGTGTGTGGACTCAGTTCTTCCAGTTTCCCACGCCACCCCTATTCCTTTTCTCTCGCTAATGCCAGCGCTCTTTCAAGGTACTTGCCTCATCCCCGTGGACAGTTTTGCTTAACAAGCCCACAAATTCCTCTTCATAACGAGTCGCTTTCAAAAGGCCCATGCTGCAACAGCCAGAGCCAGCCTAGCCATCCTTCAAAGGTACAGCACACTGCTGACAGTGTAGCTGGTTTTCGGGCCTACTGGTCCCAGGAACTCCAGGGCGTTCCTGAACTATCCTTGCCCTTCCTCTGCAAACGTCGACGGCCGGCTCTCGATGCCCTATCCCTGCTCCCCCGTACCTGGGCTGTGCGCCCAACATTTTTTAACTTAACGCGGTTTCGGTGATTGCATGTTGCGCTCAGAGGCCTTGGTGGAAGCGGGTTTGTGTACTTCGGCGCTGGAGTGCGATGGGTTGGGGTCGTCCGTAAAATCCACTGAGGATGGGAAAGCCTGAGCCGGGGTAGGGTCGGGGCGGGGGGCAGAGTCCCCGGACTCACCTGGCGACGCCGCTGGCCGGATAGCGGAGAGAGACGCGAAGATCAGAAGATTCGCCAGGTTGGATCGTTGTCTTTTTCCACACTTTCTTCCCCATTAAAAACAGGATCCGTCACATAGTTTTCAAAAAAGATTCGATTCTGCTTCTACACACGACCACAGAAAAGGTTCTCTTCGTCCTACCTCCGGGCCGCGCCTACATCCGGGGCTTGTTATCAACGCCCCAGGGCCTTCTGTATAGGTTGAGAGGACGCCTTTCTGGGTTCAGAGGGCCCTCTCCGCGTGGTAATTGGACCATTTAGCCGCCCAAGCGAACCAACCCGCCTCTCCTTACTCTCGGGTCCCACAAAAAGGCGGCAATGGAAGAAGCCATTGGTCCCGCCTCCCTACTGCCACGGGCTGGGAGGTAAGTCAGTGTGGGGTTCCCGTGGTCTCATTGGGCAGCGCAGACGCCGATCCGAGCCGCCGGCGCTCGGCCCCGCCCCCCAGGCCCTCCCCTCCGGCGCGCGGAGACTGCAGGCTCCAGCGCAAAATCCTGCGGGAGAGGGGGTGGGGCGGTACTCTGGAGGC